TAGTGTTATGATTTGGTCATGCATGTCAGCAGATGGTATTGGTCGCTTTCATGTCATCGATGGGACAGTGAATGCCAGAAAATGCATTGACACTATTCTAGAAACAAAACTTCTAATTTCCATCAGAGATCTCTTTCCCAAAAATGCTTCGTTTATTTTTCAGAAGGATTCTGCTCCTTGCCCCACGGCCAAAATATCGAAAGAGTGGTTTCGTACAAAGAGCATTAAATTGTTGTCATGGCCAGGAAACAGTCCTGACCTCAATCCTATCGAAAATTTGTGGCACCGTTTGAAAACTCTTGTCCGAATGAGGCGCCCATCAAATAAAAGGGAACTAATTGAGGCTATAATTGTTTCCTGGCATCATGTAATAACGAAAGAAGAGCTTAAAACTCTTGTCAGCTCAATGAAACGTCGATGTGAAGCTGTAATCAAAAATAAAGGGTACCCTACTAATTACTGATAACTCACTGCAATCATCACTATCTAATGTATATCGATAACTATTAAGTTTAACTTTTTTGTATTGCAAATAATTGAATTTTGTGTTTTGTACTGAATTTAGTAATAAATTCTCTTTAAAATGATATATACAAGTTTGCATTTTATGAAACGCAACGTTTTCTATAAGCATACAATGTTCAAAAACATAAAAATTTCAAAAAGTGTCCACAATTTTGACCACCACTGTATATTTGAAACGAAGCGAATAAGACTATTTAAGAATGATATTTAATACAGAAAGGATATTAATAATAAAAAAAATATTTAATTTTTAGGTCCATATTTAATTTTAGGTATATATTATAGTTTTGTTTTTTATGAAGAGCAAATAGTAAAGAGACATATGTTTATTTTTTTTGGATGTATATTCAGTTTTTGATTGCTACATCTTTTGGAAGGGGACATTTTTTACATTCCTACTCTAACTTTAAATTAATATTTACAATAAAGCAATGCTGTATTGTTGTATTGTTTTCGTGTTAAATATATTTGCATTGTATTTCATCCAAGCGTAAATTTGGGATAAAAATTAAAATTCACGACATAAATTTTATTATTACCTAAGCTTGAAATGAATGATTTAATTTCAAGTAAATGAAGAAATACTTGCCAACTCTTAAAATTATTTTTCAGTTTAATCTTTTATGATTTTATCCTTTCGAACAATACCAAAATGTTTAAACAATAAGCATTTTCTTGACTCAGTAAATCGCATATTATGTATACTGTCTTCAGAAAAAATATGAAACGTAATGAAATGAAAAACTCCTCTTTTAAACATTCTGACATTAACTGCTTTACGAGTTAATAAGGAAATGAAATACTTTTTTATTCTTGCTGATTCACTTGATGCCAAGAAGGAAACAAAAGAACAATGAGGAAAAAAATAAACGAAGAAACAATTTCTTTGGCCACTTTCCAAAACTGAGATTTTTGTGACTAATCTACTAAAAACGTTTTGACTTCTTTTGGTATTTTATCGAGCAATAAAAATAGCATTTATCTTCTTTTCTGATGAACAGTTGTAAAAATAAATTTGTTGCTTTTATTCTTTTATTTTCTGTTAAGTCTTTTTAAATGTCATTTTAGATAAGTATTTCAAATTTACATCTATACAAATATGAGCTTCCGGGTTTTCTGTTCAGAGTTTCAAATATTAACTAATTTTTTCAAACCTTAACTCTTTCAACATATATGTGCTTTTAAGAAAACCACCCTTTGGTCAAGCTGAGTCATGGACGTATTACCAGCATAGACTGAATAAAATTACACATGCATAGCTGGTTATGGTTAAAAGTTATTTTAATTGGTAGCATTAAAATTACAGCGCATACCTTTTCTTATACCCGAAATTTATAAAGAAGTGCATGGTTATTTTACAAGGTATATATAAATTTAATTAATTTAGAGCAAAATAAATTGGATAATGTAATTCACGGCACAATAACTACATTGGTATTGCAGTGATAAATAAAACAAATTATAAAATGTAAAATATGAAATATCTGTCTTTCAAAATCTTTCAACTAATAAATTAATAATAGCCTTTTAACTCCTGTCTTCATTCTAAAAATAACATAGCAATAACTTTGCTAACTAAATGAAAAAAAAACCTTCATCTAATCTGTATTGCGCGCTTATTAATGAAATCTGAACCCAGCATCTGGATATTAGTCTGTCATATGATCTGAAATGTAATTCGGCATGAAAGGTTAATTGCGTCGCAGCTTCCGCTCTTTTGCACCGGCATTGGCTTTAAGGCTGTTATATATTGCAGTACTTTTAATTTTGGATAGTCATAATGGCTGAGTGGAAAAGCAGAAAGAAGACAAAACTATGTTCAACGAACCACCATCTTTATTTTTAGGCACATCAAATTCATTTCTGTATAGGGTGATGATCTGTTTGATCATCAGCAATTACAGTAATTTTTATATAAAGCATAACAGCACATAGATGTTTTCAGGAGCGTCTTGCCAGGAGGAAAGCGTACGCGAAAAATGACACATCAGTTCAGAGGCAGAAGGGAGGGAGTCAAAAGTTTTATTTCGAGTTTTAAAAGTTTTTGTTTACAGTATGAGTATTGGTCAAGAGGTATCTGCATTAAGCGTTACGTAGGATCGCACGATTAATTTGAATGACGCAGTTTATACTTAAAGCGGTATTTTAAAGACAGCGAGAGGAAGTCCCCAAATTAAATAAAAAATGAAAGAGGTTATAGGCAATTAAAATTAGAAGTTTGCTTACATATTTATTATCTTACACATGTAAGGTATAACAAAATACGATAGCTGCTTTAAGAATAATCAACCTTAAAATTAACGATTCTAGATTTTATCCTCTTCCCTAAATTCATCTGTTTTCCAAAATTCGAGATCTTTCCATGTTACATAACACTTAATGCAGATACTTCTTGTCCAATCAAAATAATTGTAAACCAAGACTTTTCTAACTCGAACTGAAACCTCTGGCTCCCTCTCTTCTTCCTTTGAATTGCGCCGTCCACTTTTCGCTTAAGCTTACCTCCTGACAAGAGGCTTTGCTGCTTCGCTTCTCAAATATCTGCGTCATTTCTTTTAAAAAACCAATGTACATAGAAATTTATTATATTTAATTGTGATTGACTGAGTGTCTGCCAAACTAATTGGATATGTGTGAAAGTAAAGATTGGTGATTTTATAAAAATCCAATTTTGTTATCTTTATCGGTATGCCTTAACCATCAGCCATGACGGATTTAGCTGCTAAACGTTCCAGTGTTGTTGTTTTTTTCTACATACCGAGATTATTACACATATGATATTTTTCTGGCGTAAATAGAAGCTCTGTTCTTTAAAACAGAATGTGTATTTTTTTCATAGGATTTTGACAGAGGAATAGGAATAAGTTCCGTAATACTTTAACAATTCTCGCTTCTTAATTTTAACTTAAACAAGGCAGTATTTTTTTTCTAAGTGCGCATTTATGTTTTATCTTAATACCGCCACGCGTATTCTTGAATTCAGGTAAATTGTGAGAAGTCTAGCTGACAAGATATTTCCTTCGGCAAGTTGCTACGCGTTCTAGGTTCATGGAAATAAAATGACATTTCGACAAAAAGACATATGCCCTCTGATATCCATCAAGACCAGTGGTTCTTCAGCCATTGATACTTACAGTAAAATTAAGTGCAATTTATTGGAAAAATAAAAATGATCCAAAAAACGTTTTTGAAATTTGAGTTCTTTCTCTTCTCAGGAGGGAATTGTGAAAAATCTTTTGTTATCCCAGAAGTTAAATACGGATGCAACTGCCTTCGTTCTTAAAATATGGAATACGGTGCTGTGGTATATGTCGTCGGTAAAATTGCTCTTGCGTGTAAAGCCCTCATCAAATCCAAACTGAAATCTGGCTATTAAGAGGTAATTCTTAAAAGGTGTCAAGGGAAAAGAATAACAAAACTAAAAATCCGTTGGCACATTTTGTTCACAAAAGCAGAGAGATAATATTCAATTTTATAAAGAATGAATTAAGAATGGGTTAAACTAGAAGCTTTGAGAACATCAGGCAGATAAGTTCAAAAGTCTAACTGATTAAGTCTTGTCAAAGTAACTTTACTACAATGTCTTCTAGTCCGCTCCGAAACAACTACTTTCTTTGTGTCTTCGTTTCTCCCCCTTGTATTGGTAAATGACATCAGCGTTGGGAAGAGCCCAACATTGTTGGCCTACTGACTTTCGTTTAGATAGACCCTTTAAGTTAAAGCTTAAACAACCAGTACACAATATGTGTACTGTATGTTTTAAACAAACATACAGTACACAATATCTGGCTTTCCGACATCTTGTTTATAGCTTCGAAATTGCACATTTTAATTTCAAAGCATTAGCAAAAAATGCTGCATATTTTGCTTAGTATGCCAATAATCAAATGCAGTCAGTTTTTAAATAAAAGAAATCGTGGATAAGTAGCAGATATAAACTGGGCTTCAAAACCGATCCTTAGAGAACGCTATCACCATTGGTAATCCTAAATTTCAAGCAGGTAATCTCTTTTCTAACGGTAAAATTATTGCTATCTGATAATAATATAATAAACGTCATTAGCTTTCTGTTGAAGTCCAGTTTCATTAATTTATATAATAATTATGTATGCTGCACTCGTCCAATGATATAGGCACGTCGAGTAGGAGCACTGTACATTATTAAACATAAATTGCAGAACCAAAAACCCCATAATTCTGAATTGTTCTATTGTAATAGATTACCGACTTCTGAAAACTAAATTGTCGGCTAGTAAATTTGTCCCAGTATCAGCTCAATGACTAAGATTAGAAAAGAACAGAAAGCCTCCAGACTAGGTTCTTGGCCAGACGTTAACCGTATGAGGTTAATTACCAAGCATGTATTCTAATATATTTTGCACCATTTGACAGAATATGAGTGTTAGAAGTGCAGACTGTACACACATACATATATATATATAATATTACATACTTTGATTATTTAGACATGAATTATGAGGTAAGCTAAGTATGCATGCAAAATGCATTTACAATTATGAATAACCGTACGCGGTTTATATAATAATAGAGCAAAATATGAGAGTTAATGGATGTAGAATAATGATTAAGATTAATAGATCGTTGATGTTGTTGTTATTGTTGTCTTTTTCATAAATTTCATGGAAGAGTTGTTGCCAGAGCCTCGGGGTTGGACTTCTACTTCCACTCCAATTTTGAGGGAGAGCACAGCGGAGGGTAATTCCGAGGGTCTCTCAACCCCTCTGCCCAACCACTAAACCACTGGAGAGGACTTTCAGCTCGCCGTAGAGTGCCCCCATGCCGCAAAGACACTATAAATTTATAAAAATCCTCTTGGCTCGGGCCCTTCGGTGTCGAACTAGGCTCCCCTAACCACTATACCGTCTGGGAGGCGCAGGAATCGTTTTTAGTCAGAATATCACACTTTATTATGTAACTGTGATACAACAGTGACACGTTCGAGTTTAACTTTTCTAGCATCAAACTAGCATCAAACTCCTAATAGGCGTTAAGCGAATTATCGCTGTGTCTGAATGAACTACAGAATCTTGAAAAGATTTTAAACATTTTTATTTAACAGAACTTATAATATAAATGCATTTCTTATGCTCATAGGATGAGACATCATCTGAGGTGATGCAACTTAAAATAATCGTCAAATCTAAAATTTAAAACTGAAACTTAATGACTTAACTTATTAACTGAACCTAATTTAATTTGAATCTAAGTTGGATCAGAACTTCTTACCTGCGTAACAATTTAAATGACAGCAGCTGTAACGTAAAGTTTATCAGGACTTGTGTTCCTCTTTACTTGCCTTGGAAACATGAACTGTCCTGACTCGGAACAGGGAGCTTACTCAAGCTATGTTCAATAAATTGTGAAGTAGACAATACACACAGGAAGGATATACGAAACCCTTTATTTTTCTATCTTTACAGAGATTTCCGGAACTTCGGAATACAGAGACCAACCACTTGTGGTCTGAACGTAAGAATATAAAACTACTAACTAAAACTCTAACTAAAACTAACTTTGGATTAATATACAAGTGCCTAACTTTAAGATTGGCCGATAATTAACAAAATCCGTATGTAGTACAGAGAGCTGCTAAAACTACGATACGTTTGAAATTATCAAGAGGACTAAACCTCTGGCCTTGAAGGCAACCAGCAACCGAGTAAAACTACTATGGCAAGCGACCTGCTTCTAATAACTCCTTCCTCTCTCTTGCTTGGCAAAAAGCCACAACTTAAGTACTTGGCGTTAAATTTGCATAAATAAGTTAAAGCTTTTAATTCTGCCGGAAGTAGAAAATAAGAAGTGATAGTAAAGATTTAAAATAAAATAAACGTTAGTAACATATATAACTATATACATATATAAACTTAGGATCCTTACAAGCTAAGTAATTACAATCTTCTCAGAGCTGGGAAAATTAAGTAACACGACTTCGAGAGGCCGAAACATGATGTGTCTTACAATCCCAAAACCTCAACTTAAATACTTTGTTATGCATTTACATTTCTGGTGAGGATGCGGAAAGAAGAAGTTATAGTAAAGGCTAAAATTATAAATAATTGGTTAATACAAAGTAATAGTAACAACAACATAAACAAAGATTAATGATTATATTAAAAATTGATGTATTTGGAATGACGAAATTTATAGTCATTGAATTTTCCTGTGTTAATAACTGTACCATAAATATTTCCGAATGCTTATTTTTATGATTTTCTGTGCAGCAGAAAGTTTGGTAGAAATAATTTGATGATGAAGCTTAAATATCGAGGTCCAGTTATTCTCATATAATCTAAATTCAAGTAATAAATTATAATAATATGGGTAGCCTTCATGCATAACCTGTTTTTATAGGTAATCCGCAAAACCACTTTGGCTTTACAAAGTCTGAATCGGCGTAGTAACTGAAATAAAGATGGGGTATCTATTTTTATAACTTTACTTAAATTCCTGATTTAGGTACAGAATGACCGTTATCTAAATTATCTTGATCATTTTAAGTAATATGATAATTTTAAGTTTTGAATGTTAGCTGCTCTGATGAATTTCCTTTTTAATTCATATAGCCATAAGCGTTACCCATAGAAAAGATCACCATTTTTTACTGTATTGATGCGATGAGACTAGATTTCTAGTAAATGCGTTTATTGCACCCTTTATATCTTTCTTCCTATTCCAGGAGTTATCTTTAAATATTAATTTTTAATATTATATATTCATTTATGGATAGTGGTGCATTTAATGGTAGGATTATCTGAATTTTTAATTGCAGTCCTAGGAATAACTGGCCGGTGTAATAGTTATATATGTATATAGTTTAGTTAGTTAGCACTAGATTATAATTACCATATTCGCGTGTGCGACGTTACTGCTGAGCATTTATAATTTATTGATGAAGAATGTTTACACTGGTATTTGTTCTTTGATAATTGTTGATAATCCCAGTCTGAACCCTTGGTATCTAAACTGCACCTAATATAACAAGCATGGAACTAGAAAAGTGATGGGCATGTGTGTTAGTACTTTGCAGCAATGAACCAACTTCCGTTATCTGGAAGAGTTTGATAAAGAAAGAATTCTCTTCAACTCATTTTAGCAGAAAAAATAATATGGTATGCTGTTTATCAATAGTTTATCCTAGCTTCACAATAGTTTATCCTGGCAACAAATTAACGAATAAATTTATTTAAATATCAAAACCATTTCTTGAAATTCTGAAGTGCAAACTGCTCTTCACCCTTGTCCAAGCTTTTTGATCATTTCATTTTAAACTTCCTCTGGATAAAAGGTTTAAAACATTTTTCGTACTTACACGTAAAATTTTCTTGATTACTTTTCTTACCTATGTAGTGTAATTCGTTATTACATTTAGGTAGCAACTAACCGATTATGATTGGAATCCTAGCAAGGGTTTATTTTTTCGTATTTTGAAAACCTAAGAGTTTGTACACATTCAAATTAAAATTTCGAAACATAAATGGTTATCTAAAACAAATAAGCTAAAAATTCTTTATATAACTAATCAATTCTTTAAACCATCAAGAAAGAATATTTCATTTATTAAAAGTTATAAAGTTTTATTGCGAAAAACTTGTCTAAAGCTACAAAAAAAAAACTTTCAAAGATTACATATTAACTTTCAGAGATTAAAAAATTTCATTTCCTTTCCACAGATATGGAGATATGGTTCCTGCAACGCCAACGGGGAAAATCGTTGGTGGTGTGTGTTCTCTAAGCGGAGTGTTGGTCATTGCCCTTCCCGTACCAGTCATCGTTTCAAATTTTAGCCGCATCTACCACCAAAATCAAAGAGCTGACAAGCGAAAAGCACAGAAGGTAAGTTAACTTCCATCCCCATCAGTGCAATAAATGAAATCAAATATTCATGATCAACATAATTAATGCTTTTATTTGTCACTATTTATGTTTGATTTTTTTAATGCTTTACATTAGAGAACTGCAAAAAACTAGTTAAAGAAATTAAAAAGGCTGTAAGACTTTTAGGCTAAATAGCAGTCACTAAAAACAGGCCGGAGCTTTTTCCTAGCTACTAAGGTCGATATTTAATCAGTTTTATTTGTGCTTCTTGTTTGCTGCTATTATATTTAATCATTTAATTCATATGCTTTTGTACGAGCAGATGAAGTAAGCCAGAAGATATTGGGCTGGATAGCAAAATACTATAAGCAAATAAAATAGGTGACCTCTGTAAAGGGAGCTTTGATACGGACATATGTACTTCTAAATTATTTACATAGTGAAGCCCGTAAAACATAACAAAAAGTTCAAAAATTATAAAAAAATATATATTGATTATTATTATATTCTTATATTGATGTAAGACTCAGCAATAATCAATGTAACGCATATTTTCCAATTGCAAGCAAAACTTTGGCTCTGCGCGGTATCTAAATGCCGTAAACGTTCATTGGAAAGTGAAGCATATATCCTCAGCATGCCTCGGGAAATTGCAGTTTAAGTACGATTTCTGGAGGATATTCTGCCTCTTGGAGGAGAACAATTTCATAGTATTATTATTTTACACTAGAATTGTAAGAAATATGTTTTTATTTACAATACTTTATATGAACAAAACTATATCTATATTAAATGTATTAATAGATAATTTTCCTATGACAAATACGGAGGGAAAATAAAAATTATCAACTAAGATATTAATTCAAAATAATTAATTTGATGATTTACTTGGAAGCCAGATAATTAATCTAAATGCAATGTGATTAAACACTTTCTAGCACATGCTAAAAAAACCTTTCGAAAAGTATGTCTAGTTAAAAAGTATGTCTAGTTAAAAGTTAAAAAATATGTTTCATACAACATTATTTTAGTACATCCTACAATAAAACTTTCTAAACACATGTATCACAGTCACAGAATGTACAACATGCTCTTTGAACGTACTGTGAACATTCCTGTACGGCTTGAATATGATGCTGGTAGTCATTTTTATACGATTTCTGAGCGAAGTAACTTTGTCTTCCTAGTTGTAATTATAAAAAGGGATGAAAACCTTAAGAAGCAAAATGTTGGGTAAAATTTATAGCTATATTTATAATTAATGGAGATAGTTTACTGGGAACTGCGTAGCCGTAGATCTTCAATTTGAAGCGATTTCGTTTCCATATTTATGAAGAGTGACATCACTATAGGCGTCATAGTGAATAAGCAATAAAATTCAAATAACTAAAAATGAACTCGATTTTCAGTGAGTTTCAGTACATATTACAGTACACAACTTAATGAGAACACAATTGTCAATAAGAAATATTTGCACGACTTCATTTGAGATAGAATAACTAAAAAGCTGAAGAACGGCATGGTGTTGAAAGTGGCTGATGTTGCCTGTAGCGTCATATCGCAAGTGGGGAGGGGGGTGTAACTTTCAGAATGCGGAAGATACAGCTATTCAAATCAATGGTGGTACTCATTTACGAATACCAATGGCCAGTTCTCTCTTCTTAATAGTATTGTTATGTTTTTTTCCATTCCTTTACGTTACGTACGGGTTTCGTGCGGATTTGGAGTGAGTAATGAAAAAAGCACTTAATGAAGTATCAATTATTATTTAGCCAATATGAATCAGGACAGCTCCAAATCACTTTTACAGTCGTCGAAGAACGACTGTAAACATGTTGACACAATCAGCGACACAGCTTTCACACTATCAGGCTATAAAGGTGGAGACAGCTTCACGGCAAAGCACCAGAGTACAGCTCCTGACTCTCCTCGGTCGTTCTCAAAACTCTACGTACTCTCGAGACTCTCCACGCTAAAACTCGCTGCGCACTCGACGATACATAAGAGTACAGCTCTCGACTCAGTTTAGTCGTTCCCGTAGATCAGCAAACTCTGAGACAAAACTCGAAGATGCACTAACTCGCGATACAGTAAAGACTCTCTCGATGCACTCGAAGACCAACTCGGCGCTAGCCTTCGAGACACTCACTCAATGACTGACTATCAGCTCGCTAGACGAGGCACTAACTAACTGTCCGCGTACCAGCAAGGTTTATATAGCTTTTGGCTTGTGTTCGAGAACATTCTGGGCTGACATTTCGTAAGAGTATTAATCTAGTATCATATTTATGGATGCGACGAAGCGCAAGAAACTGCTTTTCTTATGTAAGGTGTTTTGCTAAGACTAATTTGAAAGCTATGATTCTATTATCAGTATTTTACGACGACAGCGAAAACTTTCGTTCGATGTTGTGTTTCGCGTAGGTCATTTAGAAGAAAACAGGATAAAGTGATTTAACTACGTAACTTAATTATGTAAAATTCTTGGATGCAAAAATTCCTCGAAGCATTGCATTCCACGAAATATTGAGAGAAACTTGTCTGATCTTCCAGCACTTTTTTGTCTGTGAAAAACTAGCATGACACAGATGAAGTCATTGCAAACCAACTACATAGGATTATCAGGAGTCAGATATTTTAGTTAATTTGGTTAGAAGACTTCATTATGAATGCAGTTCCAAGATCAGTTTTGAGTATCTATTTTGTTTTCGGAACTTCACTTGGTGTGAACAATAATCTGAAGGTTAATCAAAGTATAGAAGAAATATTTAGACTTGTTGAGGAATGACATATCGTTAGCGTACTGTAATGTACTAGGATGTAATATTACAGTTTCTGAAGTGTAATTATGTGGAAATTAATGTCGTTAAATTCCTAGTAACGGTTTTTATAGGATCTCGAGCTTACGCTTTTAATTTTCATATAAAACTCTAATAAGTATGATTACTTAGAATATTTAATGCCTAGAGCTTTCAATATATTCAGCTAACTAATGTTTCATTGGCAAAGAGATGCCGCATTGAAAGCAGATCAGGGCTGAGTGATTGCAGGCGTACATTGCTTTATTGTGTTCTGCAAATATCGAGATTTTTTCGGACATAGGAAAACTGGAGTAATACCTACATCAAACTAGTTAATTGGAATCCCTTTGCAAACCTCATTCTCTCATTTTTTATTTCTTTATCGTATTTTGAAAGGTATTTCAGTATTTCAAATTTCTCTGTAATTTTCACGAATATTATACTGAAACTAGAAATATTAATAATCTTAAAATTTCCTCAGGTGAAACGAAATTCTTGTATGGGTTTCTATGCGTCTATGTGTTTATTTTAAATTTTCAAAAAATGATTATACTATATGTTCATGCGATGCGTGCGTTGTTATACAACAATTTCAAATTAACTAGAAGTGCACTGTACTAAATATTTTATTCGACAACTTTAATCAAAAATGCGTGCCATCTTTCAAGCGATGACTTACTACTAATAACAACAGCAATAAAAAAAACTGAGTAAGCGTTTACAGGGTTGCTGTAATGAACATCTGCGCCATGCAAGGCGCCAAGAAGAGAAAAAATCACGTAATCTTACAGTTAAATAGTCTTAATGACTTAACATACCCCCCGGCATTGAAGGGTTACTTCAATAATTTCGTGCGATAATACTCATAATAACCTACAAAATTGTACAATTACTACCTTATACAATAAAGCAATACGAATAATATCTCTTAATTCAATATAATAATATTCAATTTTCAATACAAAATTTTGTGCACAATACAATGTACAATACAAGTTTTATAATAATAAGCTAACACTTAACTAACTTAGGAAGCTTCTCCTTGGGGTAAAATTGCAATTTTTGTAATTCCACGCTTAATGATGCCCTTTGCTGTCTGTATTTCTACTACTCTAACCTTACCGTCAACTCCAGGAAAAATTCTTGTAATGCGCCCTAACACCCATCTACAAACAGGAAGCTCATCCTCCTTAACTAATACTAGCATACCTATTTTAATATTCGTTTGTTCTACCTTCCATTTTGAACGCTGTTGTAGTGTGTTTAAATAGTCCCTATGCCAACGATTCCATATCAACTGGACAAATCTGGTAGTTCGTTTCCATCTTGAGAGTCTGTTTTCAGGTATATCAATTAATTCGGGTTCTACTATAGCATTCAAGGGTCTTCCAATGAGAAAATGACCTGGTGTTAATGCCTCTAAATCATTTACATCGGAAAGATAAGGGAGTAATAGGGCGAGAATTTAAAACAGACTCTATCTCAGTTACTACAGTTAATAACTCCTCGAAAGTCAACCTTGCATTACCTACAATCCGCTTTAAGTGATATTTCACGGATTTTTATTCCAGATTCCCATAGTCCACCAAAATTAGGTGTCCGTGGGGGAATAAACTTCCATACTATTCCTTCTTCACCTAAATAATCTGCTAATTTTTTGTCAGGATTTCTAATTAAATTGTTAATTCTTTGCAATTCGGCATTTGCGCCAACGAAGTTTTTTGCATTGTCTGAGAAAATGATTGAGCATTTTCCGCGCCTAGCAATAAATCTCTTTAAGGTGGCAATAAATGCGTCAGTGGTGAGATCACTCACTAGTTCGAGATGCAATGCCTTTGTTATAAAGCAAATGAAAAGAGCTAAATATACCTTATGAAGAGTTCCTTTCCTCTGTCCCTTGTACCTAATAAAAAATGGACCGCAAAAATCGGTGCCGACATGATTAAAGGGTGAGCTTGGATTTACGCGCTCTGCAGGTAATGACCCCATAATTTGTTCGATAGTGACTGGTTTATTTTTACTACAAATTATACATTCATGGGTAATCTTTCTAGTTAAATTCCTACCTTGTAATGGCCAAAATTTCTTTCTCATAAAACACAATAATGCTTGCTAACCTATGTGTAAATATTTCCGATGATAATGCTCAGCAATCAGCTTAGTTAGTTTGCATTTAACAGGCAAAATTATTTGATGTTTTTGTGAAAACATTACATT